AAGGAGGAGGAGTGATGCACCAGAGAGAGAGAGAGAGAGAGAGAGAGAGAGAGGAGAAGAATCACCCCGTAACTCGATCTTGGACGCAACATGGAGGGCAAGAAAATCTTTCTCGTCCTCATTGTGCACACAGGGAGTATCTGTCTTCGGCCAAGGTTTCATCAGGCACTCTTTCACCGATCCTGCTGTTCGCCGCGATTAACTCCCGCCGCGGGATAAACCGTGATAAAACGCGCTACCGCTGATTATAATTCCAAGCAGACGTCGAGGAAATTCATGAAAACGGGGAGAAGATCGCGGGGTTGAAGATGTGCAATCGGCGGCGGTGGGACGAGCAATTTCGACTCTCTGGGTTGGAAACGGTCTCGCGAGGCCTCTCGACCTCCCCCATCGTTCTCCTCCTCCATCTTCTCCTCCTTCTCCTTCTCCTTCTCGTGTCTCCCTTATTCTCAGCGAGGTTTGACAGAGGGGGTGACAAAGGAATCTGCCCGCTCCGCCAGCCTTTTATGGAGGCGGTGTCATCGTTGTCGGCCCACGGAACGAGGAAGCAAAGCACCGATGGGGGACGATGGTCCCAAAGCCTGGCCGATGGAAGTTTATTGCGAGAATACAAGGGGGTTGCGTCGGATCTGCTGACTCGTAGCTGGAAGAGGATGAATAAGGGTGAGGAGGAATAAGGGAGAAGGGGTAGTGGCTTGGAGCAGTGGCTCGAGCGAAGAAGAGGAAAGGGGGAAACTTGAAACGATTCGATAAACTTCGGACGCGTGACCATTTAGCAGTAAATTATTTCTTTTTCTGCATCTCTTCTTCAACTCTTGCTGTAATTTCGCCAATTTTGTTTCTTCGTCCATTTCTTCCCTCGTCTTCCGCCACCCGTTTCCGATTGTGTTGCTTTACCTGTACATATTCTCAAGCGAATCACCCTATATCCATCCATATATGTTCGCACAAATACATATATATACATGTACATCAACCTCTCACTGGTTATGCCTTATAGAAAAGGGTAATCCTGCCATCCACTTTTCCTCCCTCCGGGGATTTCGAGAACGCTTTTCCGCCCGGTCGACCAGCAACCACCGACGCCCGCACCGTCCTGGATATGAATAAATATTAGAATTTTGCGGATAAGCTCCGTTTTACGAGGCGATACTTGTTTCCACGACGCCGACGTAGCTAGATCGATTGGACGATCACTCGTCCTCTGCCGCTCTCCTCCACCTTCGATACGACCCTGTTCATCTTCCAATCCCACGATCCCCTCATCGATGGATCATTATATTTCGGTTCACTGGCTGGAATCGTGTACTGGATAGTTTTCTAAACGTTGCTACCCCCTCTTTAAATGAACGGGAAAAAAGTATCAATCTCGCCGCGTTTCCTTCCGCCTCGAGAACCATTCGTCTTCTTTCAATTTCACGGAATATCTACTTTCCTTTCGCTTTCAATATATCTATGAACACGTATCGTTTGATAACAATCGGGGGATATCAATGATCGGGACACCGAGATTGACCGAGATTCGTCCGCTTTCGAATATTTTCTATCGGACAATTTTATTCGATTCGTCCACTTTCGACCACGGTTTGGAAAACCGCGTTAAACAGACGGAGAGAATCGAATGGCTGGTATAAAAGGGTGAAAAAAAAAAAGAAAAGAAAAGAATAAAGGGAACAATCGGTAAGAGAAAATACGGCGGAGAGGGGAAAAAGTCGGTGGATAACCGACGGTTGGACAGGTACACGAGGTCAGCGGGCAAAAAGCGGGATAGGAAAAATGGAGAAAAACACGGCACCGACACTGCTGCACTTGACGTATGGTGCACGAGATAAGCGTGCAGATTGCGCAAGACTGGGGGGACCTCCGCTTGTGACCACGGATCGAAACGGGAATGGAACGGGGGATCGAACTCGAGGGTGGGTCAAGACACACACCCCCCCCTCCTCCACCCTAGACGTAATAATATTACTTTTACATGTGTGTACCGGTCCATTCCTGTTATCTGTATCGAGACCTGGCCAACCGTGGATAATCGATTCTTCGTAGAAAGAATTATTCTCACCGGCAACTTTGAATAGAATCCCATACCATCGACTGGGACGGAGAGATTATTCGAAACGGCGTTCGACCGTGGCGAGACGAGGATCGAGCGATTTAGGAAACAGAGAAGAAAGCTTCACTTGATGTGAACTTAAAAATTCACGAATCTTGGACGATCGATTCACACGCGTGAAACGAATTTCAAAGGATGAGCTCGGAATGTAGAAACCGTATTGGGTTAGGAAAGAGGAGCGAGTTTGGCGAGAGAGAAGGTGTGAGGAAGGGTGAGAAAAAAAAAGGGACGAAGTGGAGATGCTTGGGAAGGGGATGTCGAAAAGACTAACGCGCGGCTTTGCACACAACCGACGCGCAAGTAGCCCGTGTACACGGGACCAGGGACGTAACTTGGCCGCCAAGGGTCCCAGATGCGAGCAACGAGAATACATAATTACAATGTCCTCGCGCCTGCTTGGGGAGCCTTTCACGGAGGTTAGCTAACTCCACTCGGTAATCTAGACAATGTTACCCCTGGGAACGGTACCGCGGGCAAACGTATCCATGGAAAAGCTGAAACGAGATTGCGAGGTGTAATAGGGGAGTTGGCGACGATGCTTGGCTGTTGGCGTTTTCCACACAAGTGGATGGCGGAATTTTACGCGAGTAACTTCAATTAAGGCATCCTCCTCGTTCTCAGGATCGAACGATTCGGTTGTGAAATTTATACGAGTCGTTGAAAACTCGAACTCGGGTTCGATAATTGTTTCGCGATCTCATTTCTCGCCGATGGGAACCAGCTCAGTCGATGACGAATCGAACGAAACGAAGTTACAAGGAGAACATTGAAAAATAATAAAGCGAGCGACGAGAACTATTTGGCTGCGTTTCGATTAATTCTTAATTGCCTGGATATCAATCTCGACCTCAAATTCCTTGCCTCAAACAATAAACGACAAAAGCGAGCTAACCTTGGAAACGTATCCGCTATCCGAAATCGAAATTGGAATCCTTTAAATCCAACACGTTCGCTGTTACATAAACCTGCCACGTTTCTTCACTCTTGGCAGAGAAAGACACCGCACGAATCACCCAAGAGACACCGAATTCGCAATACGGCCATTAACTTGAAATTGCGCGGCTGAGCGAGAAGGTAGAGCCGGCCTGGCCGCAAATGCACCGCAGAAAGCCACGAAAGTCAGGGCGAAAGGGTGTGGTTTTATCCAGCGAGCACGCCCGCCCGCTTCTTCTCTTCTCTCTCTCTCTCTCTCTCTCTCTCTTCTTTGCACACGTGCATCGTCGAAATCGTTCCTATTCTTCGCGAGCCGACGCCAATGGCCGACGAAACATCGGCTGCAGGAAGAGAGAGGAGCAGCGAGCTGGTTTCCACTCCCCTCGAGTATAAACGACTTAGCGAACGACTCTAACGTACGACTCGTGACCACCCTCGTGAATAGGGCGCCCCCCATCGAGAGTGCACTCGCTTGCCCCCTCTTGAAAAATTACGAGTTTCTTCGAGTTTCACGAGCCATCCCCGAGAGAGAAAGAGGAGCACTCGCGATTTATTTTATCGGCCGAGTTGCAGTTTATCGTTTCCCTCGGTAACGACTCGAAGCGCCGTCTTATTCGATCTCGTTCGCGCAAAGAGGATTTTTTTAACTCTCGCCAATCGAAAGAATTGGCTCGAACAATTGGAATTTCTCCGCTTCTCCGAGAATATTGAAAAATCTCATGAAATGTGAAAATCCTCGATACGAGAAACATTCGTCGGAAACGCGTAAGTGAGACGGGAGTTTCCGCAGCGGTAACCACCCAAGTAGCACCACCGTTCTGACCGAGGAAATTCGAATTCCCACCAGGACAATTAACAAGCTCGGCGGCGCTGGCAGTAATCGTACATTTGCCTTAAGCCTTTGCGCAACTGTGCTAACGTTCCTATCCCTAGTTGCAACTGCGTTGCCCATTTCGAGCGTAGTCAGCTTCCGCAAACCGTACTCGAGCTACAGTTACACACGCGATAATCGTTTCTATCGTAGAATGTTGTTATCGTTTATTATCAACCGACATCGACTGTTGTTAATCAGTAGCCAAGAGGTGTGAATTAAATTTCGAATTATCAGCAATGCAATCAGGCTCCATAATACGCAGCTAATATTTGACGGATAACAGAAACTTTCTTCTTTCTATTTGTAACTTCAGATTTACAATATTAATTACGCTTTTCGAAGCTAATTAAGTTCACTTTGAAATTGGAATCGTCGTAGCCTATGCGATAGTCGAGCTACCAGGAGACGTTCCTTCTCTCTTGTCATTAACCCTTTCGACACTCCTGCTGAATGAAGTTGCTTCGACGGTGTTTATTTCCAGAGAAAGATGCTCGATCCAATCGCTCGTCATATCGTACGATACGCGACATCTTATGCAGAGCGACTATAATAACGAAAGGGTGTGCGTCAACCAAGTGATTATGATTCTCTTTTACGTTGCGTGTCATTCGCAAACTCCACTCTCCCTCGTGCACTGCACGCGCGTTTGTCTTTTCGTTTGTCCACATCCTTGAGTTATGTTACGCTCCACCCTCCAACTGATCACCACCGACGACCCTTCCTAGTTCACTTCCTGTTCACGCGGTTCCATGTGGACATGGTGGCGTGATGGGTGTGGGACGGAGAGGAAAGGGCGGAGGAGAGAAAGAAGCACGCAGGACGAAACGTGCGGGCATTAGAACTCGCCATCTGGCTTTCCCATGACCCGGTTCTCGACTTACCGAGTTTTCCTTGTTAAATCCGAATTGAGCACGCGACAATCGATACCGAAGTTCGATCTGATCTAGAAAAATGAGGAAAAGAATGTTTGGTAACGAAGGTGACGATCTGGGATTGAACATCGTCAGATCGATTGCGAATTAATTTTTCACTCGAGACTGATTGGAAATAAAATTTAATGAAGAAACATTCTATCGTTAACGGTCGAGAATTAGCAATGAGAATCGGTGGACAAATATGTTGTAACCAATTTTC